AATTTTAAACCATTCAGTGTTCCCACGTTCTGTTTGAACAACTGCTTCTTGGTCCATGTACAGATTCCTCATGAGCACGATTAAGTATTCCGGAATATTCATACTTTGCAAAATGAGGTAGAGACCCTAAAAAAACTTGCCTTGGTGCCTAAGAGCAGCAGTCAAGAAATCAGAGGTGGTATTACATTAGGCAAATCTTCTGCAGAAGACCTCCTAACACTTAAAAAAATTAGGTAAGGCTAACCCAAGTCATAGTATTTTCAGTTGCCTTATATGCATGCAGAAGTTAGATGATGAGAAAACGAAGACCAGAGAAGAGCTGGAGTGTTAGAGCCGTGGAACTGGCATCGAACAATGAATCCACCATTGCCCTGGTGTGGTGCTGTAGGATCAGCACTGGACTGCTGACCACAAAATCAACAGTTCAAACCCACCATCCACTCTCAGAAACTCTATACAGGGTCACTATGAGTTAGAATTGACTCGACAGCACTTAACAAAAAGAACAGAAGGAAGGAAAAAAACTCAGTTTTAGAAGAAGTACAACCAGGATGTTCCTTAGAAGCTAGGATGCCGAGAGACTTTGACCTGCTTCCTTTGGTCAGGAAAGACCAATTGCTAGGAAAGGATAAAATGATGGGTAAAATAAAGGGTCAGTGAAAATGAAGGGACCACCCCTGAGATGGACTGCAACAATGAGTCAGCCATACCAAAGATCATAAAGATGGTACACGTACACGACCCGGCAAGGTTGCATTCTGTAATACACGAGTGGCCATGAGGCAGCGCTGTCTCCATGGTAACCAGCAACAGCAGCAACCGAACATTCAGCTCATTTAATCCATTCAATAATCCCAGAAGGTAGACAGTATCATTTCTTTTTTTAGTGGAAAACTCCAAGGCTCTAATCTGCCTACAACAGAGAATGAGGTGGGCTCCCAGAACCTCACTCTGTGTGGAGCAGCTACAGACACAGAACGAATGTTACAATGATCCTGAGCCTGAATACCTGAAAACACAGATCCCCAGCTACGCTCACATTTCAACAGACTGAAAAATGGAGCGTGGTCCTCATGGAAACTTTCAGGATGGACTCTTACTGTCAGGTTTCTAAATGGCCCTGTTTCTCTTCCCATGCCCAGCGGTGAATGCTAAGTGCTCATCCCTGGTGCCGCGTGTGGCACATCCTCCTCCTGCAAATGCACTCAGTCTGGATGAGAGTCTGTGGACATCACTCAACGAGCTTTGAGAGGGCCTCAGGTGTGAGCTGAGGTCCAGAGGACATCCTGGGAGCACAGCACACCTTGACTTCTTTCCAACAGCAAAATAGTGGGAGATGCAGAAATCCATCAGGGAGTCTGTTGTTAATTCCACAGTCTGACAGACAGGCGAGTGGCAGCTCTGTCATCGATTCTGTCTGTGGGAGGGGCAGTCTGCAGGAGGAGTGGAACTGCCGTGAAGAACGCATTCCGCGGGTCTACTGGGAGAGAACATTCCTTGGACATTTTTCTGGCTGTCATGGAAATAAAGTACCCAGGTACAGTGAGCAATGTTCCAGGGGTTGGTGCTCCCTGCGGTGTCAAATACTCTATGCCGATATAATCTCTAAGCAAGCAATGTGATCCCTGGAAAACGTATTCTCAGATGTGGACAGCCCGGCTGGCATTAAAGGATCCACAGTCCTTGGGTTTATAAAATGATCTGTAATCACTGGTTCTATGAATAAGGGAATGGAGTTTTAGTTGCCTAAAGCAAAACTTTTGTAAAGAATATCTTTATGTCATACATAAATAAATCATGTAGAGGGTTATACTTGGCATTTTAAGTTTGAAAACTTTAAAAAATATAGTGACATTGCATGTTTGTCTCCATCTTCATAGTTAAAAAGCTGAAATTTGCTTCTCATGGAATCCAGAGTTTCTAGAGCTATGAAGGCAGGACAAGCCCCTAGAACTACTGCCCCCAAATCATCCTGAATTCTTATTCCTTAAGCCAAAAGTGCCCTCTGAAGTCTTTACACCAAACAACAGTTCAGCTTCATTAATAAAGGATACAGGCCTCTAACATCATGCTCTTTTTT